CATAATATTATATGTACTATCATCAAATATTTTTCTAAGGTATTTTCCACTTTAACTTCGCTGTCGGATAAATATTCACAAGGATTAAAGTTATTATACCAAAAACCATTAATATTATCATAATGTTCATCTTAATACATGACAGAAATATGGGAGTCTTATTTTCGAGTTTGGGCCGGGAACCGATTCCCCATTATCCCGAAACCAACATATGTTTATTGTTCGTGACTTCGTGTCATTTATTCGTTCGATGCAGCTGCACGTACACTATACATTACTTAAATAATGCCTACCGGGCCTTGTAAAACCGGTCTTGTGTCCTGATTCCCGACGATAATTCAAGAGTTGGCGCCTCTCTGTCGGTACACTCTCGAGAAATATATGGCAGAGGAAAAAACTAATCGCCTCATCGCTTGGACTGAGTTCGATTTCCAATTTCAAAACACCATAAATACGGACCAATGAATACACTACACATGTACACACATATTTTATATAGTATTTTAGAAATACGAAAACACGACTTGCCGCATTCCTATAGTGGTTACGAGTCGGTATAAAAATATTGTATTTTTTTATACTAAGACGTCGGTGGTGCATGCGATATAGCTCAGTTTCAGATACTTTATCTTTATCAAAAAAAAAATAAAAATTAACAATTAATTACTATAATCAATTTCATATAAAATGACTTGATGAAAAACTATAGTGCATCATCTCATATCCATGACCGATCGTTTGACGATATAGGTATATATATTTTTCATAATTCTGTTAACCAAAAACGTATAAAATATACATGCACAATTATTAAATGCATATTTAACAGCATTAAAATATGCACTAAAAATATACAAAAAATAAATTAATAAATACATTTAAATAAAATAAATAAGCACCTACACAAATAGTATATGTATAAACAAAATTAATTTAATAAGTAATTTAAATTAAATTAATATATTATATATTGTCAATATTGTAAATTAGAACGAAAGTAAATTAAAACCAATTCTCTAATATTTTTATGCACTCCCCACCACCCGGTAGCTAATAGCATATCAAGTCAGCAATTTGTTAAAAACAAAAATTCGGCTTTCAGAAACTCGCAAGAGTACTCCATCGACAATTCTGAAAAACAATCATAAAAAAATTATCAATTCCGTAATATTGATTAAGTAATAACTAAATTATATAGATTCCGTGTAATATGTTAAAATGACATACCAAGGTATATCAATATGAATCGCGGACATTTCCCCTCTCCCCGCCCCCGACTGTTTTCGGTGTAGTAGGACATTTTATTGGTAAATATTTTTTATCTATAACTAAGGACTTAAAATGTTATACAAGTTTCTTCTGAAGTAGTTCATACTTTGACTAAAAAATCTAAATAATATATAAACATGGTTTTTTTTTATAGATATTTCAAGTTAAAATTTGAACTAAAATAGATATGAATACATAATATAATGAAGAATAGGATTTATCTAAGGGTTTTAGATATATTACGGTAATTTAAATATATTATTTGTGGCCTTGTGGGTACTTGAAACTTTTCGCGTAGTTATATTACTATATTTTAGACACAGTAAACACGGACTTTTTCAATTGCAATATTATTGTAAATTCAACTTAACCTATTGCAATTTTTTCACTATTGCTAACTGTAAAATAAATTATTATAATAGCAATATTAACATATTATCATGAAATAAACAAAAGTCATATTGGTTGACATCGTCAGTCTTCGCTCACAATTCTTTTAGATACTCAATGATTATCGTTGGCGAGTTGATAATAATCTGGGGAATAGTCGCTAACAGTTAAATTAAGACGCATTACTACAAATGATCATTAAAAAACAAGTAGATTTAAATCTTAAATTTAAATTTAATGCTTAAATCAGTATTCAGGTTTTATAACTTTCATGTGAGAAAATGCACAAATTACACAAACGGGTTATCCCGTTGTATGCAACCGTTTTCTAAATGTTTAAAATGTATAGTAATATAATAAGTTCTAACAATTATACGGATCGAAATTTAAATTGTCTGAGATCGACTCGTCACGATCCACCGCTTGGCCACCCCTGTGTCCTGGATCCATGTGTACAGTGTATACTTTGTAACTATTATACTTCGAAATTCCGTAGGTAGGTTGTGTTTTCGTGGAGACACGTCTTGGCGTCGAAATGTCGCCACCACGGATACAAAGAGAGCACCTGCAGGCTACAGAGCAGTATACGAAGGTACACATAAAATATATACTAATGCCCATTTATATACATATATGTGTTTAATACATATACATGTTTAGGACATAATATACTATAGTAAATGTAATACCTTTTACGGTTGTCAATATAGACGACGCAGATAAGATAGGTATGTGCATGTTTTTGTATAAAAACGGTCGGTAGGTAGGTAACCGAGGAATTCCTCTACGAGAGTAGCAGTAAAACAAATTCCGTAAAACGTGTACCTACGTAAAACGTTAATTCCTACAAATGTGATGTGTTAAATCCTACACGAATATAAAAATGAGATGTGTACGTTCCTACACCGTAAAAACAAGTACTACTTGATAAAAAATAAAAGGTGCGTTCTTTAGTTTTTATACCTACGGTCAAGAAATTAATACCTATGTGATTATCCGAATCATCCGGTTTGGGAATTATACATATAGTTTTATATTGGTTATTTTACTTTTTCTAATAAATTAATTTTGCCATTGAAACTTTATATGCTGTTATAGCTAACTGTTTACGTTGGTAAGTACAATTTCTACTAATATTAGGATTATCAAATACATTCGAATACACTTTTCTTAATGCAATACGTATACCTACGAAATTTCGAGAAAATACATACAAGATGATAATAGTACCCGACTCGACGTAGGAGTAATGGGTTGACGCTGTCCCCCCCCCCCCCATATCACCGTATTATTATAATTAAAAAAAAAAATACTTTTCAAGTTTCAACCGTATAGTAAACTAGTAAACAAGGATGTAAATTCATTCATGTTGTAACGGATAAGCTAAGGCTACTAAGCATACATAAATGAAAAATGGGATATTGGGAACCTCTCTGCTGTAGGTACAGTAGGTGTCGAGTAGGTGACTGTAATAAATGAGTTCAATTTGAATACAATGATACCTAAATATTATATCATTGTATACGAAAAGGAATCTTAGTGAAGTGGAGTATCAGCCTAGGACAGTTAATTCTATATTAAGAGGACCCAGTGGCATATTTAGGAATTTGTCATGGGAAGGGTCCAGATAATTTTCAGAACACAGAGCCACGGGGGACGAAGGCCCCCACACCACCCATTTACTCTTTATTAAATAAAATATACCATATTTATAAGGCGATATAAAATTGTCGAGTTTTTAATTATTAAATAATAATATGTAGAAAACAAATTTAAAAAAAAGCGGGTGAGTGGATGTCACTCTGCTGCTGTATAGTAGGTTACAAGTGGGTCAATGTATAATGGATTGTATTAAACTTGAACTCAATGATATAATATCATAATATCATTGTATAAGAAAAACGATTCTGAGCGAAGACCGTTTGTCACTTGTCAGTCTGGATATTTTATATTGTTATTATTTATTATAGCCTGTAAGTTGAATTAATAATGAAATACTTTTATTTTTTATTTTTTTCTATGGTGATAGACAAAGTGTTAGAAATTAAAATCCCATTTTTAGCGGTTTTTCGTAATTTTTTGGTAGTTTTTACAGTGGCATTAAATAACTATTGAGAAAATCGAAAAATGACCTCTCTAAAGTACTATTTTGATCCAATTTTCTAAAAGATAAGTTACTATATGTCTATACATGTTGAAATCGAAGCACTCCTTCTGGAAGAAATTTTGTATACAGGAAAAAAAATAAACACCATTGTAGAACCAATAGATCCCTCAGAATCGAATATATAGTTATATGTTATAACTTTTATACAAATATTTCCTTAATTACATTAGGTAGGTACCTACTTCATTCATAGTTGATCTTAGATGGCTTTTCAACCTTAAAAAGTTTGAAAAAGATCTCTCTGGAGTGGTTGTAGATACTGGCAATGTACAAAACTACAAAATATTTGAATTAAAAAATGAATTTGGTATTTTTCAACCATTTTCGGTACCCAACTGATTAAAATAATCACGATATTTATTGAAAATGTTGATATAACTATAGCTTCGAAAAATTTTTATACAGTCCGTAAAATCGTATGATAAAATTTGTTTTTTTATCATGTAAAAACTGCACAACATTTAACATGTACGAGACACGAGTCAATGGGAGGGGTCCGGACCCCATGGACCCCCCGTAAATACGCCACTGAGAGGACCCCTCATCCGCATATGTTGTCTGCATCTCACAAATGTGTGCAAATTGTACCCTCAGCAAAACACGTGTAGGAACGTTAGTTTAAAAATTAGAGTGAATTTATCTCTTATAAAATTTAAAGGTAAGATTATTATCTAGACAATCTCATGGGCTTTTTATTATATTTTAATTTTTTAGCAAGATATGAGTATTTTAAAATTGTAAATTGTTTGTACATCTTAAAATACTCAAGTTATATTATATTATACAAGTTGCCAGATGGGTATAGTTATAATATTTCGAAAATAGTTGTAATTGTAATTTTAAATGATATAGTCATATAGATATGTACAAAAAAAAGTCATAGGAAGTATACTACTATACTAGTATGTGACCACTTATGAGAAGGGTTTTGCCATATAAATGACTTGAACAGTCATAAACCAATAATATTGTTATCGCATTAAAAATATATTATAATATCATATTATGCGCGTTTGTGGTTTATTGGTTGACCGGTAGGTGCGCACTCAAAGACCCCTTCTTAGCTATGAAAAAACGGTTCATCGCCGCCGCCGTCGTGGCTGCTTAAAAAAAGGAAAGTGGACGATTCCTGACCATTAGCATGTGTAGTACTGTAGTGTGTACCTACAACATTATGGCATCTATAACCAAAATCGTAATTTTGATCACCGCAATCATTGTCATCAACGGAGATGCACTTTACGTCTTGAGTAACGATACGGACAGACCCGACGGTGAGTATCTACCTTCTTTAGTTATTATTATTTTTATTTCGTTATAAGTAAGCACTTTATTGATAATAATTAATACTATTATTGGTATTTTTTTATCATTAATGAAACACATTTTTGCAAATGAAATATTTTTTTTGGGATTTACGACTTTTTGCTCATTTCATATTTTTATTTATTTGCTTTACATATCTTGTTTATATTATCGTGTACTTATTTATTTAATAATGTCTAATTTGTTTTTGTTATTTATTTATAATCCATACCATCATAATTTCAGATCGGATTTCCGATACGTCGTCCTACGTGAAGCGGGATCCCCCTTACAAAAAAAGATGTGATGATGGCGTTATTGATTTATTTTTTGGCTGCACCGTTACAACTGTTAGAAGTCTTATTCATCCGATAAACCGTGACTATTATGAAGTGATGCGACCAAAGGACCCAAGTTCTCCCAACACAGAGTACGTCATCAGCAAGAATGGAGGCCTGAGGTAAATGCATCCTTTTTTTAAGTGTTGTTATGGGACCGACTATAGCCATTTATCCCCGTATAGTCACTACCTACTCTATAACTTTATCAATTATTAAAAACAAATACATAATAACAATAAATATACCTAACTACAGAGCTCTTTATCTTTATATCACATGATCATAATATATAATCATTATATCGTAATACCTTATATGAATATTGAATTAATCATAATATAATGTACCTAATTCAATTTTCGGTGGGTTTTAATAAATTGTGTGTTAATGTTAATGTCAATAGGTTGCTAATGTTTATTGTAATAGGAAAGTTAGTAATATGTTAATCGATTCATTTGTTTTACTTGTAAGTAGTGCATAGGTAATATTAGCCACTTCGGATAGTTCATATGCTAGGTACTTCATATAAATATTTACATTTTCTATTTAACACCAATAGTATTTTTATTTTAATCGATGTAAAATAAATAATATTCATTCTAAATCGAAAAATATTTTATGAATATATTTTTATCCAGATTTTAATTTTTCTGTTCTTGAAAATGTGTAAATAACCAACGACAATCATCTTACTGAGTGTTTATACTTAGACATTCATTATAAATAGTTTCTTTACTAAAAATGGTTTTCTTATTTATCACAACACTTTTAAGTAGGACCTATTATATTTATTATAGCTTAATTTTATTGTATTTTGTCCAAGATACAGCATATACATTAAAATAGACGAGTAGGTACGTAATTTTAAAACTATTTATCCACACAAAAATAATTTACTTATAATATTAAAAAAGGTGGGTAAGTGGATGTCGCTCTGCTGTACAGTAGGTTACAAGTGGGTCACTGTTTAATGGATGCTATTAAATTTAAATTCAATGATACAATATCATTGTATAAGAAAAACGTTTCTGAGCGGAGACGGTATGTCAGTCTAGGTTTAAGACAAATTATATACATATCTATGGTATTAAAAAAAAAATTGACCTATAATAAATTCCAAATTAATCATCCATTAAGTACTTATAACACATTATACATCAACATCAATAACAAACCCTGATACTATCATAGATATATAATAGTACACTTTAGAAGTTTCAAGTAGGTACCCACGAATAATATTATATAATCACAACAAAATAACTAGGTTTTTTAATATGTAATTACGTCCAAATTTGAACATAAAATGACTATAAAAATAAACTGTGATTGTATATTTTTTAGATTTTTCGGTAAGAGAATTAACTACTTACGTGGAATCTTGTTTTAAATTTTCAATCCCTAGCTATAAAAACTGAACATTTTATAATTTATTAATTACGATGATTAATAATTTTCGAGATTTTGAAAAATTCTGTCAAAATTCGATGTTTAAATGCTTATAAAAAAAAGTTGTGCTTATGTATTTTTAATACTTTTCAATTTAACACTTTTTGGCCTAACAGAAAAAACTTTATTGATATTCCTAGAAAAAAAAACTAAAAAAATTGAAAAATGAAAATATCCGTAAACAGCTCAAAAATAGTCAAAATATTTTCAAAATTGTATGGTGTATAGGAAATGCTAATATAAACAGTCAGTGAAATTTTCATGTATCTACAGTTATTAGTTTTTGAATAACAACAAAATAAAGAAATCGCTACATGAGAAATCGAGTGAACATCGAATGTTGTAAAAATTTGAATTTCAAACGCTCATAAAAATTTAATTTGACTGTCCGGTAGAGATTTTTTTATTGATAAAGGTAGACAAACTTATGAGTGATCTTGTATTACATTTTCAAATCTTAGACTTAAAAAGAAAAATTTTTACCAATTCTCAACTCAAAATAATTTGCTAATTTTCGTGATTTTTCCATATTTTGTCAATTTTTAAACTTTAAATGCTTATAAAAAAAAACTGTGACTAACGATTTTTAATATTTTTCATCTGCCTTTGAAACAATATACTAGGAGCCTTCTATTAAATTTTCAAGTTTTTTTAACCAACAAATAAAATTTTATTGATATTTCTAGGAAAAAAACTAAAAAAAATGAAAAATGAAAATTTCCCTAAACAGTTCAAAATAAATCAAAATATTTTGAAAATGTTATCGAGTGTAGAAAATGCAAATATAAACAACCACTGAAAATTTCATGTATCTACGGTCATTTGTTTTAAAGTTACACCAAAAACCAAATTCAATTTTCTGAAATATTGATTTTGCGTAAAAATTCCCGTTTTTCCTTAATTTTTCTTTTGTTTTTCTTGGCGATTTTGAAAAGTACTGGACATTTTAAATTTTGACCTAACCAATGCATCAACGATATTCACTTTCCAATCGAACAAGATACTGAAGTCGAAAATTGAAGCATTATTTCGACTACTTATCGTGTACACAGACGCAAAAAAAAATAAAAAAACACACATCATTGTAAAATCAATACATTCATCGTTTCACTCAGAATCTAAAATTTAGTAGACCGGCCATATAAATTCAGATTTGCTAAACAATAAAAACAATCTAGTTATTGAATTTAGTACAGAAATAAATAAATTGTAGTTTTAAAAAAAACTAAAAAGTTTTTTATTTAACCTATTACTTATTAGCGAACTAAAAATAGAAAATTAATTATAATGTAATTTTATCTGGTATAGTGTTGTATTTAATGGTACTTTCGCTATCTAAGAGTGTTCCAATAAAAACCGGGCAGACCCTATATACTAACTTATAACTCCCTAGTAAAGTAAAGCCCGCCCGGTTTTTATTTGATCGCACTATTCAGCAGTCAAAATAGCATATTATCATCATACTCACTATACCAGGTAAAAAGACATTAAAATCAACTTTCTACTTTTCAGTTTACTAATAAGTCAAATAAAAACCATTTGTAGTTTTTTAAAACTTAAATTTATTTAACACTTTTTAGTAATGATCAACGAACGGTCGCTGCAAGTCAGTAAATATTTTTTTCCCCCACTTGATAATATGGTTTGAAACGGCGTAAATTGTTCGGTGGGGTCCACGTAAAAACCTGGACGTTTTAAACCGTAGGGTAGGTATATATTATTTTTCAATCGTGGTAGGTGATGATCAACGAACAGCGGCCGGCTACGACGTGACGAGTCGGTAATTTTTTTCCCCTACAAAATAATATATTAATACTGTGATACGGTGTGAAAGGGCGTCTTTGTAGTTTTTAGATGTGCTGTCGGTAACACACTGATCATTCGAACTTGGAAATCGATAATAATACGAACCCACGCAGGCCGCCGCCGTATAATCCACGTGACGCGTACACGGTTGTCTATATTGAAAGCCAAAACGATCCAATTTTAGAAAAAGCTCTTCTTCATTCACAACTAGATATCATCCTGATTCAGAATATACCAAGTTTATTCCTATAAGTTAAGCTGTTGTCGAGAAATCGCAAGGACAAATAGACAATGTTCGAAGTTAAATAAAAACCTTTAAAAAGGCCTACGTTTTAAAAATAAATTACATATTTTGTGAATAATTACAGATTGCACATAGTTGAGACTAACAGTTAGATACACAGTTTAAATCAGTTAATTTGAAAAAAAATTGCGTCTTTTGTTTAGGGTGCCATTATATACATTTGCATAAGAGTAGCGATGGTTGTTGGGGAATTTATATTTAGGGGTATCGGTAGCGCACAGCAAAAGAATATATTTTAAAGTGGTGACCACTGAAAAATACATTGATTACTTTTCTGTTTCCATTAATACGAATATTTTTTTTTTTTACATGAAAAGGGCACGACGACAAGGCCCAGTTAAGACTACTAAAGGTTCAGATGATGGACCTAACGTGGTTATGTCACTCCTCGCCAGATCCAATTCTCCGCTAAGATCTATGATAAGAAACAGAAATCGTCGATCGCCCTCAATACAAGACTCATCTTCCAATAAAAAAAATAAAGTGGTGATTATCCAGACGCCTGTCAGTAATCGACCACCAAAGCGGCCCATTGGTAAAAATCTTATTACGACGTTCTTGACTACTCTTTATTCACCCTACGCTTTGATTTTCTAACCAATATTTGGATCAAAGTGGCGAAATGTATTATTCTTGAAATAAATAATGCAAATATAAGATTATTACAAATAAATTGGGTATTTTTATTATTACCTATTCCTTGTATACATTAAATAACACATCTTCTTAAATTAATACTATACAAAAGCTAAGTAGTAAAATATCCTCTTATAATACATTATAAAATATAAAATTCCATAATTATAATTAAAACCCTACGTACGCCACTGCAGCTTAAAACAGTTCTATAGTAATAATATCAATATTGGTAATTTGCATAATATGAAAAATTATTATTAAATAAATTATTTTGTTAAAGATATAATTTTTTTATAATATTACTTGTATACCTACCAATTATGAAAAATGAAGTTTCTGGTAATTAATTTTATGCAGATAATACCTATACAGTTAAACCTCCCAAGTTTGGGCGATGAGGACATTTTCACTACTTTTTAATAGGTGAACCTCCGAATAGCGGACACTATTTCAATTATTTATAATGGACTCAATGACTTTAAAACTTCAAGCAGGTGCCTTTATAGTGGACAATTGCTGGTTTTTTCCCATAAATATTACGTCTCATTGTTAACGTCTGGAACAAGTGATAATCCAACAATTTAAGAAGCTTTATTGTAAGCAATTACTACTAAAAGCTGTAGGGGATTTAGATGCTGGTTAATTTAGCGCTATTAATGTTTGGAAGCTGTGCATTGGGTGGCTTCTTCTGAAGCACAAATCAAACCTGAAACTGAATAAAAGTGCTTCTTGCGATCTTGTTTCAGTATCAGACAGTCAAGACTATGAACAATCAGGACATTTTGCTACCGACGAACAAATCTGTATAATTAGTAGGTACATACCAAATTAAATTTATATTTTATATTACATTTTTCAATTTTTGTAACAACATTATATTATGTACTTTAATATTCCATAGCACAAATGTTTTCATTTTACACATTATCCTGCATAAACTTCAAAAATGTACCCCCTCTGAAAAACGGACACCTCTAAATAGCGGACGAAAATTCGGCTACCAAGGGTGTTCAGAGGTTTCACTGTATTATAGATAAACATTATTATTATTACTTTTTTTTCAAAATCTAATAAATTCTATAAAAAAAAAATATAATAAAAACCTTTGTTGGTGCATATTTTACACAACATATATATAATTATTTTGAGTACAATAAAACTTTAAAAAAAATGTTTATGATTAATAAATATTTAATTGCTATTTATTAATTTTCATTTTTAAATATTTTATAAATTTTTAATAAATTACGTTAACTATTAGTATTTGGCGTTTTACGATAAACAAATATTTAATTCATTTTAACGACTTTTGTTCATTTTATAAGTATTGGAAATTATATAATTAACATAGTCGTTTATTTATATTCAACAGTAAACATATATATATATATATATTCTTCCAAATTAAATCAAATAAAAAAGGTACTTAAGTGGATGTCGCTCTGCTGTACAGTAGGTTACAATTGTGAGTGAGTCACTGATAATTTAAATTTGAATTCAATGAGACAATGCCATTATATACGAAAAACGATTCTGAGCGTTGATGGTTTATCAGTGTGGATATTTAATATTATATTTATATTTTTATATACTTAATTATAGGTATTAATACGTTGTATTAATATAATAAAATTACAACGAAATAACTAAAATTGAGCCTATGTATTTTTAATATTTTGCAACTGCTATTTTATCAATATATTTGGATCCTTGTATTAAATTTTGACGCTTTTTGGTCCAACAAATAAAATATTATATTTTATTAATATTTATAGAAAAAAAACGCAAACAATTGAAATTTCAAATAGTCCGTAAACAGCTCAAAACAAGTCAAAATATTTTGAAAATCTTATCAAGTATAGGAATCGATAAAATAAATATATGATATAAATCTCAAATGTCTACGGTATATTAGGTGCATTTTATTAAATTTTCAAGCTTTTCCCTGCACTTTTGAAAACTATTAGGAATTTTAAATGTTGACCTCCTGAATGCACCAATACTAGATTCACTTTCCCATCGAACAAGATACTGTTGAAGAAAATGGAATCAGTTTTACTGCCAAAAACCGTGATGATGACAGACACAAAAAGAAAAAAGGTGGGTAAGTGGATGTCGCTCTGCTGTACAGTAGGTTACAAGTGGGTCACTGTATAATGGATGCTTTTAAATTTGAATTCAATGATACAATATCATTGTATAAGAAAAACGATTCTGAGCGAAGACGGTATGTTAGTCTAGGTTTAAGACAAATTATATACATATCTATGGTATTAAAAAAAAATTGACCTAAAATAAATTCCAAATTAATCATATCACAATATCCATTAGGTACTTATAACACGTTATACACCAACAACAAACCCTGATACTATCATATATATATAATGGTACACTTTAGAAGTTTCAAGTAGGTACCCATGAATAATATTATATAATCACAACAAAATAACTAGGTTTTTTAATATGTAATTTCGTCCAAATTTGAACATAAAATGACTATAAAAGTAAACTGTGATTGTATATTTTTTAGATTTTTCGGTAAGAGAATTAACTACTTACGTGGAATCTTGTTTTAAATTTTCAATCCTTAGCTATAAAAACTGAACATTTTATAATTTATTAATTACGATGATTAATAATTTTCGAGATTTTGAAAAATTCTATCAAAATTCGATGTTAAAATGCTTATAAAAAAAATTGTGCCTATGTATTTTTAATATTTTTCAACTGATATTGTAACAATATATCAGGAGCCTTGTATTAAATTTTTACACTTTTTGGCCCAACAGATAAAACTTAATTGATATTTATAGAAAAAAAAAACTAAAAAAATTGAAAACTGAAAATGTCCGTAAACGGCTCAAAAAGTGTCAAAATATTTTCAAAATTGTAGGGTGTATAGGAAATGCTAATACAAACATTCAGTGAAATTTTCATGTATCTACAGTAATTCGTTTTTTAATTACAACAAAAAAAGGAAATTGCCACATGAGAAATCGAGTGAATATCCAATGTTGTAAAAATTTGAATTTCAAACGCTCATAAAAATTTAATTTGACTTTCCGGTAGAAATTTTTTTATTGATAAAGGTAGACAATCTTATGAGTAATCTTGTATTAGATTTTCAAATCTTAGATTTAAAAAGAAAAATTTTTACGAATTCTTAACTCAAAATAATTTGCTAATTTTCGTGATTTTTCAATATTTTGTCAATTTTTGAACTTTAAATGCTTATAAAAAATAATTGTGACTAAGGATTTTTAATATTTTTCATCTGCCTTTGAAACAACATATAAGGAGCCTTCTATTAAATTTTCAAGCTTTCGCAACCAACAAATAAAATTTTATTGAAATTTTTAGAAAAAAAACTAAAAAAAAATGGAAAATGAAAATGTCCCTAAACAGTTCAAAATAAATCAAAATATTTTGAAAATGATATCGTGTATAGAAAATGCAAATATAAACAACCAGTGAAAATTTCATGTATACGTTCATTTGTTTTAGAGTTACACCAATAACCAAAATCGATTTTTTGGAAAATCAATTTTGCGTAAAAATTCCCGTTTTTCCTTAATTTTTATGTTGTTTTTCCCGGCGCTTGTGAAAACTACTGGAAAATTTAAATTTTGACCTCCCCAATGCACCAACGATATTCACTTTCCAATCGAACAAGATACTGAAGTCGAAAATCGAAGCATTATTTCGACTACTTATCGTGTACACAGATACAAAAAAAATAAAAAAAAATAAAAAAAAAAACACACATCATTGTAAAATCAATACATTCATCGTTTCACTCAGAATCTAAAAAACACACATCATTGTAAAATCAATACATTCATCATTCCACTCAAAGTCCAAAATATTTGAAGTCGTATACAGCATAATTTACAAAACGAATACAATAAATATCAATCATTAACAAAAACAATATAAAATATAGTTCACTCATGGGCGTAACTAGGATTGAATAGTTACAGGGGCTAGAGTCCTACAAACCCAAAGTGTAAAATAACACGTTTGGGGCAAAGCCCCCCCTTATAAGATTCACTAAAATTAGTTGTTACAAAAAGTCCAAAATTTAATATAAACCATAACTGTTTTGGGTCATCTTCGTTCTCAGCACTACACTTGATTTTTTTTAATTTGAATATACTGAACATTTTGATAATTGTATGCAATAAAATCTAACGTATTTACTTATACTGTATACGTACTCAAAAATAAAAATAACGGCCGTGACAGTCTGTAATTGTAATATTACCTACCTACCTTTTTTTCATTCTGCACAGAGGTGCCATAGACGCACAGTAAATTGAGAACTGAGAATTGGAAAATAAAATGATTACCTATATAATAGTACCTATTCAACCACTGTTGTACGAATGTGCAAGATAATATAGGTAACTATAATATTATTATAAGAATAGGTATACCAATATGTATAAATATTATATATGATAGGGGCTTTATATAGGTAAGCTTGAAGCTAATACACACCTTAAACACATTTCTTCTAAACTATGACCTATAATTTAAGATAAATTCGTACTTGGTACACACTGTACACAATTTCAATTATATTATATTTCATAATATTATAATAATTTATTATTTTACACATTATTTTTTTTTTGTAATTATCTGGGTTCTAACTATGAGCCTAAGGAGGGGCTAAAAAGTAAAAACTCTTTGGGGGGCTAAATAGAAGTACGGGGGCTAAGCCCCCCTAGTTACGCCGATGAGTTCTAGTTGATAACGATATCCATTCTTGACCGGAGCAAACAGTGATAAAGGCGCAGTTTCAACACATTGTTGTTGTCACAAATGGATACGTCCACACATAAAAATGGGATAGTTGAACTATCTAGTTCAATCTATGATTGAATTCAATCTATTCTAGGATCATTACTATGTTCTTGACCAATAAAATTGAAGTTAACTGCATGTGTCAGTCATATTAACTAAAATGGAACGTTAATCTAAATATAGTAACTTAACTGTTTGAAGGTATTGAAATAACTCATTAGAATTGCAATTTTGAGAACCAAAATTATTTAGTTTAATATTTTTGAAGGGTTAGTTTTACTACAAGTTTAAGTCATTATCTAAATTATTTTATCAGTTAAAATAAGTATAAATGAACGTTGTTATAACTAGTTATGTAGCTGATTTCAGAAGGGTAAACTAAAATTAAATTTTTATTGTCGAGATGTTATTTTATTAAATAATATAATATTGGCAGACACAGTGTTCGATCGCCGCGACGCGTATCTTATACAACTGAGCGAACTGACTACGAAAATAATAATAATATTCGCCCGAGTGTACGACCGCTCGACGTACACGCACACAAACTACTTACTGTTATAAGATTTTAAAACCGGATACGGGCGGCGATCGACACACACCAGACCGATAAGGCTGATCGTCGAAAACCCGCAATAACGAAAATATAAATTATTTTACAGTTTACTCATGATCATGTCATACGTTTCCATCTGTCTACGTTACCTAATTAATTTATAATATAGACATGCTTAACCTTTTAAATGTTAATACAAGAATTAAGGTAGGTGTAGCCAATAGGTATCTACTTGGCTACATTGAATCCGCCGGCAATTAAAACGAATAGTTAATGAATCTTAAGTAACAATATTATAAAAAAATTAATATTGTTGCCTAAACAATACAGTTAACTGATTTTTTTGTCTTACTATTTTTTTTTTAGTATGGTAGTATAAATAAATTGTACATTTGTACTTTCTTAGCTGAGATAGTTTTAACTTGTTTGGGAGGCAATTTACTATTATTAAAATAAAATAATAT